TGGTGAGTGTGTTTCAGTTTAGTTTTTTTTTCCAGTGTGGCAGGTGCTGGGGATGCTGCTTGTTCTTACAGGTACTGTGGCTGCAGCACCATCAGCACCCACAGCTCCAGCTTTGATTCATTATCTTCCTCTAGAGCCTCCCGTGTTTCTACTGTTGTAGTAGTGGCATGAAGCGAAGCTAAGGATGGAGCTTGGTAGTTGAACACTTGCTGAGCATGTGGGAGCACAGAAAAGGGTAGGGGAGGTAAGTTAGCCAGCTGCGAGGAGTGCCTGCTGCTGGGGATGCTGAGGCAGGAAGATGGCTTGAGCCAGCTTAGGCAATACGGCAAGACGCTGAAGGGTAGCGAATAAATGGCATTGTGACAGGCGGCGCTTTCTTTGCCAATGAAATCTCATTTTCTTAGGGTGGTGTTCCAGATGTAGAGTCAGTGCAGGGGCTGATGTGCCTGCTGTGCCTATGGACACTTTAGTATTTACCAGTGAGTAGAAGTGGCATCCTGCCTTTCCAGACAAAGAAGATTGGAAAACTGTTATTTTGGCAGGTGAGAACATTCAATTATTTATAAAAGCATAAATTTGAGTGGTCAATCAAATGACTCATTTTTTTCCCTGTATGGTGTGTTTTCCTTTTTTTCTCCTTCCTTCCTTCCTTCCCTCCTTCCTTCCCTCCTTCCTTCCCTCCTTCCCTCCCTCCCCTCCCTCCCTCCCTCCCTCCCTCCCTTCCTTCCTTCCTTCCTTCCTTCCTTCCTTCATCCAAAAACTTTATTTCTGTCTTAGGCAGTACTTCTGTCTTCCAGATCAGGTAGCAGACACATACTTGTAGCAGTTTCTTGCTAAGCGTACAAGTCACCTTCAAAGCACATAGAATTCACTTTGGTACATAGACAGAGCCTGGGTGGCTTCTTTCCCAAACAGCTTCTCTCATGGCAGTTGTCTGTATCTTCTCTGTATAGAATATGGTTTGATGGTGCCTATTTGGTTCCCCCTGTCACTTCAGGTAAGGGCCATTGCTGTATGTTCTAATATTTGATAGATGCCTCCTTCACTTGGCCTAGTGCTCTAGCCTGGGGGTCTTTCTGTGTACTTGGCATCATTCTTATCTGTGTCCCTAGTCCCAGTGACAAGGTTTATCCTGTTTTTATCTTTGGTATGGCTCAAACTTAGAACTCCCCCTCCCACTACCACTTTTTTGTTTGTTGGTTTGGTTTTTGTTGTTGCTGTTTTGTGTTTTTCAAGACAGGATTTCTCTGTGTATCTCTGGCTGTCGTGGGACTCACTCTATAAACCATGCTGACTCACAGACATCTGCCTGCCTCTGCCTCCTGAGTGCTGGGATTAAAGGTGTGTGTACCACCTCCTAATTGCACTTGACAGTCCCTCCTGCTGATGCTTTGCTTGTGATCAGTCTGAGCAGGTTTGAGAATGGACATGTTTGGCAGTGGGTATTTTCAGTGGAGGAATAGATCAGACCTGAACTATAGTAAGAATCTGCAGGGTGGGATTTAGACTCTGCCATGCAGCATGGCCGTGGCAGAGGGAGAGGCTGCCCTTCAGTTAGTTGCTTTAACATTTATTTTATTTATTATTTCTTGCGTGAGTGTGCACAAGTGTGTGTGTGCTGTATATGTATGAGGTCAGAAGACAGCTTTTGGGAGTCAGCTCTCTCTCTCTCTCTCTCTCTCTCTCTCTCTCTCTCTCTCTCTCTCTCTCTCTCTCTCTCTCTCTCTCTCTCTCACTCTCTCTCTCGTTCCAGGAACTGAACTCAGGTGGTCAGACCTGCATGGTACATGATAACTTCCTGAGCCATTGTTCTGGCCCAGGTTTTTTTTTTTTCCTTGAAGATTTGTTTGTTTGTTTTGTATGTACTGTTCTGTACTGTGTGTATGCCTGCAGGCCAGAAGAGGGCATTAGATCCCATTATAGATGGTTGTGAGCCATCATGTGGTTGCTGGGAATTGAATCCAGGTCCTCTGGAAGAGCAGCCAGTGCTCTTAACCTCTGAGCCATCTCTCCAGCCCTATGAGCCAGGGTTTTATTTTTCAAATTTTATTATTTTATATTTTGTGTTTGTATGTTGTAGTGCACATGTGTGGAGTCCTGTTCTAGTTTGCTTTCTGTTGCTGTGGCAAAACACTGACCAAATTAACTTCCTGGGGGTAAGGGAAAGAAGGGTATACTTAAGGGTATAGCCCAGTCCACCATCAAGGAACTCAAGGCAGAGGGACTGCAGCAGGCACCATGGAGGAAAGAGCTTATGGTTGCTGCCCATGGCTTGCACAGTATTTGCTCTGGCTGCTCTGGAACTCACTTTGTAGACTAGGCTAGCCTCAAACTCACAATGATTTGCCTGCCTCTGCACCACCACCATGCCTGGCTTCAGCCTGGCTTCTTATACAGCCCAGGACACACCTGCTTAGTGTTTATGTATTTTTTTTTTATTCATTGTTTATGGGTGTGTGCATGCCATGGTACATGTATAGGTCAGAGGCCAACTTTTGGGGATTTGGTTCTTTTCAACATGTAGGCCCCTGGGGTTGAGCCTGATGTTTCCTTGCCTGAGAACCACTGTATTTACTGCTGTTGAGTCATGGAAGGGACATTGCTAAGCGTTTTGCTCATTTCCCTATATCTGTATTGTCTTAGTCATGTGCTTAAATTGTTTTTTTGTTTTTTAATTCTTCATCTCAAAATAAGTGAATGCAATGAAGTCTTTTTTGGAGGTGGGATGGATTTTACTCTGTAGCCCAGATAAACGTTGGAAGTCATGGTTAGTCCCCTGCCTCATTCTCTTTCAACCACAGTGCCAGACTGAGGTTGGATCCTTAAGGCAGGTTCTGTTTTCTTTTCAGATAAAGCTCGTTGCTGCTCTGTATTTGAGCTTCTGGAGAGCTTTGAAAGTTTTCATGGTTGATCACAACCTTCCAGATGAGTTTGGGAAGCAACTGGGCTTTTTTTTTTTTTTTTTTTTTGGTTTTTCGAGACAGGGTTTCTCTGTGGCTTTGGAGGCTGTCCTGGAACTCACTTGGTAGTCCAGGCTGGTCTCGAACTCACAGAGATCCACCTGCCTCTGCCTCCCGAGTGCTGGGATTAAAGGCGTGCGCCACCAACGCCCGGCTCGCAACTGGGCTTTTAAAAATTATTATTTAAAGGCATGAGCCACCAACACCCGGCACTCGGGAGGCAGAGACAGGAGGATCTCTGTGAGTTGGAGGCCAGCCTGGTCTACAGAGTCAGTCCCAGGACAGCCTCCAAAACAATACAGAGAAACCCTGTCTTGAAAAACAAAAACCAAACCAAGTTATTTAAGCTGGGCAGTGATGGGAGGGCAGGCAAGTGGGTCTCTGTAAGTTCAGGGCCAGCCTGGTTTACAGAGGGAGTTTCAGGGTAGCCAAGGCTACACAGAGAAACCTTTCCCCCCATCAAAAATTATTTATTTTATGTGTATGGATGTTTTTCCTTCGTGTACGTTTGTGCACCATGTGCATGCAGTGCCCTTGGAGGCCAGAAGAGGGTGTCAGATCTGCTGGAATTGTAGTTTGTGAGTGTTGGTTGCTGAACTTCCATTTGGTCCTCTTAGCCACCCAGCCACCTCTCCAGATAGTGTCCTCCACCCCGTGTGTGTGTGTGTGTGTGTGTGTGTGTGTGTGTGTGTCTGTGTCTGTGTGTGTGTGTGTGTGTCTGTCTGTGTGTGTGTGTGTGTGTGTGTGTGTGTGTGGTGGGGGCAGGGTCTGTAGGCTACTCACTTAGTCTCAGGGCCCCAGTTTCCTCTTCTGTGGAAAGATTTATCTCTGGCGCCCTGTCTTTGGCTTAGGAAGGAAGTTACATGTACATTGACTTTGAAAGTGTAAACACTCACTATGGCCCTGGACATAATAAAACCATCTTAGAAAGAAACAAAGAAACCTTGTACCGAGCATAGCACACCCCAGTGGAAGCCCTGGGTTCCCAGCCCTGGAATGAAGTCACTCGAAAGTTAAATTTAATGTAGTTTGCTTCTACGGCAGATTTTTTTTTTAAACTTTGTGCTTAGCAAAACAAAACAAAACACTGCAAAACTTGCTGGGTTTTCTTCCATGGACTCTGGCAGCCTTTGGCTCCTAAGAGGAAAGACTTCTTGCCCCCTGCGCCTCACTGTCCCCTCCTCTTTCTGCTTCCTGCTAACTCTGCAAGCGCCCAGAGCCTGAGCCTGTGCCGAGGCTCTAGTGAGCATGCTCGGCCCCCACCTCCCCAAGCAGAGGAAGCTGGTTTACATACGAGTCATACCAAGCATAGCCAGCATGTCAGAGCAGTCAGCTTGCAGCGGGCTGTGAGGGAGAGTGCCTTTGTCCTAAGAAATGTGCTTCGTGTTTTTCTTTTTTACTGCTTTCTTTTTAAACCCTTAAGGCAGGCTTTGGAAGACTGCTGACATGATTTTTTAACGCCGAGTAGAGGACGCAATACAGACACTGCCTTCCAATAAGCCCTTGACGGGTTTTGTTTGAGTCTGATTTTTTGTGAGTGTGCGTGATTCTTTTTTTAAACTTTTACATACTTTGTTTTGATCTTGTGAGGCTGGGCCTCTGTTTTCCTGAAGTTTTAGAAGAGCCTGGAGCTACGCAGCTAAGACTGAATTTTGAGACTTTCTCTTTGGGGGTGAAAGCAAAGAACTGCTTTTCTTTGCTAGCCGGATAGATAAATGCTGTTTATGAAGATGGACCTGTTGAACTACCAGTACTTGGACAAGATGAACAACAACATTGGCGTTCTGTGCTACGAAGGTAGACTCTCTAGAATGGGCTTCTCTTTTACATTTGTAATGGCCCCTCCTCCTTTTGGGGGGGTATGATCAGCTTGTGAACATTTTCTTGTCTTTCTTGGGATAATAGAGTGCCTAGAGCAAGAGTTGTGTATCATTTCAGGACAGTTTGCTGTCCTGGCTGGAGAGTAGCAGCAGGGAGGGCTGGAGGGGACACATTGTTACAAGTTTGCTTCCAATGTACTTACAAGATCTGACAAGATTGTTACACTTTAAATTCTTTTCTTTTATTGATTTTGTTGCCATTTTTATGTAGGGGAGGAACTTACAGGAACAAGGAGAAGTTAAACATGTGGGTGTTAGGGCAGAGGGGAGGGGCTCTGAGACATTTTTAAACATGTCACCGTGTACAGTATTTTGTGTGTACTCTTGCTCTGGATTTTGTGTGGTGGAGGGACAACAACAAAAAGCCACAATGAGTTTTTGTTTTCCGGGGCCATTGTCTCAGACATTGAGGATTTTTTCCCCCTGTGGAGTTTGTGGGGCTGGCAAGGCCTGGTGTCAGGGAGCCCAGGCCGGCTCTTTGTCTGCCGCCCCATTTCCTGTGACAGTGAGACAGGCTCCCTCCAACCCCAGCCCCAGGCGATTACACAACCCTGTTGCCAAAAGGCTAAAGAAAGTGGAAAATGCCCCCATCCCTTAGTTCTTCTTGCTCATTACCTCCCCTTCCCCTGGATATCCCCTGGAGTGGGGAAGAAGAGAAAACCTCAGTTCCATCTTTTGAAATTTTACCTACGTGCCATTTGAGTCCAGGGTAATGGCTTGGTTGAGCTTCAGGACTGGCAGGGCAGGGAGAGAGCTAGGGCCGCCAGGGAGTCTTTCCTGGTGAAAGCATGTAGGAATCAGGACATCTTCACCCTGGGGGCTCAGGCTCTGTGTTCTCTCCCAAGGTAAACTGAGTGGTTGTTTGCTTTTTCTTGGACAGACTTTGAAGCAGGGGGCAGAGTCAGTTGTTTTTGTGTAAAAGTTTCAGATCTCTTAAAGCAGTTGAAAACACACCCTTTCTCTTTCAAGCTTGTTTTAAAATTAACTCTATGGATAAGAATCTCATTTAAAGTTTTTTTTTTGTTTTCGTTGTTGCTGTTGTTTTATTTTGTTTTAAAATAAGATACCTCTTTACTTTGACGAGTTTCCTCTACATGTAAGGAAACTAAACTCCCTCATCTCAAAGGCTGGATTTTCAGAAGCGGTTTCTGGTGGGATTCATGTATTGTCTTTAAAAAAAATCCGCACCCCAACCCCAACAAAAGATGAAAACTTTTTAATGTGATCTCTTTGTCAACAAGTAATCTGATATTTAAAGAAACAAAACAGTGAAGAGCACTGAAGCTGCCAGGTCATTGGAACCAGGTTTGTTCCTTGTGTCTGGGGAGAAGTTGAGTAGCTCCCCCAGGTGGGCGTGCGGTCCTGTGGAAAGTACGTGTGCCAGCGGTTGTTGTCTTGTTTCCTTCACTGTTTGGGAGAACGAACTTTGATTTTGAGAGCCGAGTGGATGTGTGGGATCATGGGCTATCTGTTTAGTTTAAACATCTGCTCCCGTTTTCCTTATTATGAAAGGTAATATTATTCTAACACCAAAATAAGTACACAGGAAATGAAGAAAAGTACGGCAAAACCGGAGTGTCGTTTGGAGCCGGTTGTTTACGTCCTCTGGTTTCCTCGATGTAAACACCACACACATCTGGTCTCAACTGCCAGGGCCATGTGGACGGATGGGTGTAAATCACACACGGAGTTCTCTCCTGTAAGGAGTGGGAACAGAGGTAGGCCCGGTGTCACATGCCTGCAATCCAAGCGCTGAGAAGGCAGAGGCAGGTGAATCTCTGTGAGCCTGGTCTACTTAGTAAGTTCCAGCCAGGGCTACATAGTGAGACCCTGTCTTAAACAAAGAAACAAACCAAAAAGAAAAGTTGATAGTTTAAATGAAGTGTGCTGGGATAGTTTGCACTGCATGTTTTAGCCCTCTATAGTGCCAGGGCAGTTATGTGGCATATGAGTGGATAGGGTTAGGTGGCATTTGATCTATTCTGGGGCACAGGCCAGCCTCCTGCCTGTTAATGGGGCAGACTCAAGTGTTTGCCTTGTTGGCTTTAAAAGTGAAGATGTAGGTTGGGGAGCTTTGCTTGCCCAGGTTGCTTCTGCCACAGCTTTGGTTGTATTGGGTGAACAGTGTTCTGACCATCTCCCTTCTATGAGGAGCTCCCATGAAGATAGGTCAGCATACAAGGACTCTTAGATCTTGCTTTTGAATCTACTCTAGCTTGTCCTCTTTCTTTGAGTTCTTGGGCTGGAACCCACATTATTTTCTGCTAAGTCCACTTTCTCCCACCGAGTCCCAATATAGCCCAAACCTGTTCTAAATGGCTGAGGTCATCACTTCTTGTCTGGTAACTGCATCCTGGTACCCACCCTCATAGTCACCTACAAAGAAAGTCCAGTGTAGGTTTTGGGGAGCAGAGATGTCCAGACAGAAAATCTAACTTATGAGAACCAGTTTGTACACTAATGACAAGTGACTTGGTAAAGTTGCTTGTGTTGATGAATAGGCCCAGGAGCTTCATGGCCTCTTACCACCATGGCCAACAGCTAACCACTCCATCCTGGTCCCATTGTGCTTAAGGAAGTTCAGTGTTGTCTCTGTCTCCATAAAAAAGGTCAACCCCAGCCAGCCCTCTTACCGTTCCCTCTTCTGACTCACCCCACTGGATGGTCACACACCTCATGGACACAAGGTGGCTGCCTTGGTGACCGCCACAACCCCAAGGCGTGCTCAAGACCCTCTTGGGCTCCAGGACATGGTTTATGGTGAAGCTGGACTCACTACGTCAGAAAAAGTCTGCAGGCCTTCCCCTGGCGGCTCTGTGGCCACTGCTGTATAATGCAGTCTTTAATTATAGACTGTTGTTTTCTCTAATTAACTTGTCACTACAGAGCCTCAGACATCATCTAATACCTTCACCTTATTTTGGCTAAGGAAATCGAGGCCCAGAGTTTCTTTGTTAGGTGGATTTGGGGGTTTGTTGCAGGACTGAGGTAAGGTTGGAGCCCAGGGAATTTCTCTTTTCTCTGGGCCTCTTATTCCCATACTGCCTTTCTATGGTTATTGTTCGTCTAATCTCTGCTCACATCCTTAGGACTGTGCATGCTGGGGGTGGGGTGGGTGGCTCACATCCCAGTTTACAGGGCATTATCCTGATGCCAGGTGGTCCAGGTTCCAAGGCTGTTTGATGTTCAAGGAAGAGTACTGATTCTAGCTGCAGGTGGCCAGCCTATAGAATGTGGAATGGGATTGAAGGAGGGGGAGCAGGCCCTTGCTAGAGGTGAGATCCCCAGAGTGAGCCCCCCCAGGCATCAGAGAAGAGTGGGAGTGTTCAGGGTGGCTGACAGCCGTATTTACATAATTACTCAGTTCTGAAAAGTTAGGTCCTAATAAATGCTCATGGTTGGCCTTGGCTGTAAACTGCTGTTAGTGATTCAATTATGGGTTAAGAGCCATTAGTGTGTAATTTGGTAGAGGAATTCCCTCCTTTTAATTTAATAGAGTGATTTGTCTTGGGAGAAAGTGAGGATAAATTGCATATTGTGATGGACTCAAAGCTTCAGAGAGGAGCTTGGAGAGGTTCTCACTCAGGGTTTAGATCTGTTTTAGAACGCAATTGCCTCTTGTTTCACTTCAGGCTGCATTCAGATCCATTTTCCTGGGCCGGAAGGGAACATACACACTTGGGCTGCCTAGCAGAGTGAGGCCCTACAAGTCTGGGCATGGGGCTCTTTTGTTTCGTGCCAGTCTACCAGCAACAGGTTGATGGAGGCCTGGCTTCATTGTTCTTTGTCTGAGGAGCTCAGAGGCTTTTGGAGGCTTTGGAGTCTCCAATGCTGTTGAGTGAAAAGGCCACCAGAGCCAGGCTACAAGTCCCAGGGTTGGTTCCTAGCCCTACACACAGATCAAGTGACATCGTCTTGATCTGGATGTAATCTTTGATGGTGTATCTGTAACCATTTTACTGTGGAAAGTCATTCAATGTTACTATCTTACAGGTGTGTGTGTGTTGATCTAGAAGCCCAGGTGAGGTGCTTGTGTTTCTGCTAATTACAGCCTGTGCCCGGAAGGTGTGATTAGAACATCCTTCCTTCCAGCTCCGCACCCATAATTCTCAATCCCCTTCTGGAAGGATTGTTTGACTTGGGCTGTTATCTCTAGGAGCCAGCATTTGGCTTGTTAGAAGTCAGCCTTTCTTTGCCTTGTGTTCCTAAGGTGTCTGGGTTCATTGCTGTGAAACAAGTTTTTAAACTCGTGCCATATAGATAAAAAGAAATCTCTGGGTCAGGGAGATTGCTCAGTGGGTAAAGGTAATTACAGCCAAGCTCCTTGGTGACCTGATTCCTGTCCCTGGGACCCACATGGTGGAAGGAGAGAACTGACTCCCAAAAGTTGTCCTCTGACCTCCACACTGAGTCCTGGAGACCCCCCCCCAATAAATGTTAAAAGAAAAAAAAAAGAGGGAGAAGTGGAGTTCCTGTGGTGTGTTCAGAGCCTCTCAGTGCAGTTTAGTTCTACTTCTCTGCCAGAGTGCTGGAGAAAACTGGGTTTTGTCAGAAAGAAATTAGATCCAGACTTAGCCCCTTCACTTGTATGCAGATCTATAAAAAGGTCTTCTCCGGGAATGCTCTGCTGTATCTGCTTCATCTCTGTATTTAATGTTTAGTTAATGACAGTTTGTGTTTAATGCTATTTGTATATTTAGCTCATGGTAATTAGTTTTTAGCCTCTCTCAGCATTGTAAATATGAGGCAGACCCTCCTCCCTTTCTTATTTGAGAGCGAAGTCATGAGGTAGTTGTCCTCCTATAGAAGCAAACACCCCCGTCACAGGTGCTTTATTTATTTTTGAAATGCTTTCTCTCCTATCTGTACTCCCTTGCACAGTCTTGGCTGCCTTACTTCCCAAGCAAGTGGGTGTTTCATGTTCTCTATTATGTACTTACTTACTTTTAAAAAAGACTTAACTTTTAAATATACATTTGTGGTTGTGTGCACCACACACATGCAGGTGTCTAGGAGACTAACAGAGGCTGTCAGGTCCCTTGGGGCTGGGATTACAAACAGTTTTGAGTGCCCATTTGTGTTCTGGGAAACAAACTCCCATTCTCTGTACGCTCTAACTATCTCTGAGCCCCACGTGTTTTGTCTTTGTTTTAAATCACATGTATGATGTGTGGCAGGGGTTGTGTGTGCCTTGCACATGGTGGTACTCAGAGGACCACTCTGTGGAGTCAGTTTTCTCCTTCCATCTTTATGTGGGTACCAAGTATTCAGGCTTGTGTGGCAAGTGCCTTTCCTGCCAAGCTGTCTGTCACCCATGTTCTAGAAGTCCAGAGTATTCTTTTTGCTGGTTCGCTTTACTATGCTGACCTTTTAAAATTTTGAAGTCTGGGCTGGAAAGATGGTTCAGAGGTTAAGAGCACTGGCTGCTCTTCTGGAGGTCCTGAGTTCAATTCCCAATTCACAATCATCTGTAATGAGATCTGTATCCCCTCTTCTGATGTGCAGGCAGAACACCTTATACATAATAAATCTTTTTTTTTTTTTTAAAAAAGCTTAAAAATTTTTTAAAGTCTTTCTCTGTGAGTTCGAGGTCAGCCTGGTCTACAGTGCAAGTTCCAGGAGAGGCTCCAAAAGCTATACAGAGAAATCCTGTCTCGAAAAACTAGATAGATAGATAGATAGATAGATAGATAGATAGATAGATAGATAGATAGGTAAAATAAAAATCTAAAGGCTTACTTATGATATGGCGAGAGAGGGACCTTTGCTGAAGCCCCACTTCGGAAGAGAGATAGACAAGCCATGCAGACTGAACTCACTTGGAGAGTTTTGTTGAGAGAGAGAGACAGAGAGACAGAGAGAGAGAGAGAGAGACAGAGAATGGGCAGAGCTTGTTTCTTAACGGGGCCCTTTGCGTTTGCATACAGCTGAGTATGTACACCGAAGTCACACAGCAGGCCTTCATACTGGCAAATGCATGCACAGTGCCGTACTCTGCCAGATCCAGGTCTCCAGGGTGTGGGAGCCAGGTGTGTTTGAATGCTAACAACTTATATTTGTGTGTTGGTGTGGTGTGGTGGTGTGTGGTGTGGTGTGTGTTGGTGTGGTGTGGTGTATTAGTGTAGTGTGGTGTGTGGTGTGTGGTGGTGTGGTGTGGTGTGTGGTGTGGTGTGGTGTGTTGGTGTGGTGTGTTGGTGTGGTGTGGTGTGGTGTGTGGTGGTGTGGTGTGGTGTGATGTGTTGGGTTGGTGTGGTGTGTGGTGTGATGTGTGGTGGTGTGGTGTGGTGGTGTGGTGTGGTGTGGTGTGTGTTGGTGTGGTGTGGTGTGTGGTGGTGTGTTGGTGTGTGGTGTGGTGTGTGTTGGTGTGGTGTGGTGTGTGTTGGTGTGGTGTGGTGTGTTGGTGTGGTGTGGTGTGTTGGTGTGGTGTGTGGTGTGTGGTGGTGTGGTGTGATGTGGTGTGGTGTGGTGTGGTGTGGTGTGGTGTGGTGTGGTGCCTGTGGAGGCCAGAAGAGGTCGTTGGATCTCTTGGAGCTGGTATTAAAGGTGCGTCTGAGCCACCTGATGCGGGTGCCTGGATGCAAAGTGGAAATGCAGCAAGCATTCTGTTTTTGTTTTTGCTGCTTTGTTTTTTGAGACAGTTTCTCTGTATAGTCCTGGCTGTCCTTGCTTTGTGAACCAGGCTGGCCTGAAACTTACT